ATTTTTATCCGATTTAGTTGAAACCTGAAATGTAAGTTTATAACCCAAACATCTTGGTTCCTTTCGATATTCGCGCATATCGGACTGTAACTTCCTGAATTATGGCCCTTGATTGTAGGAAAAATCACTTTCTTTTTAGCTTGTTCTCTATCCATCTCTCGAAAATGTGGGCGTATCATGCCTGGCAGCGGCTGGTCTTTTGGTGTGTCTGCATGTTGCCTACAGTTCGCAATTCTTAATCGATTGTCTTGAAAACTTTATGTACTTATTTCTTATATCTAAAGGATGATCCCTTATTGTTTTTGGTACATGTCCGACCTCCAGGGGCAGAGCCACACCCATTTCTTGGATTTGTTTGTTTGTCGTCTACAGGCCGCATTACGTAATGTATCATCTTGAAACTTTGCATACTTTTTCCTTAAACCATAAGGAACATCCTTATTGTTTGTGGTGCATGCCCACCCCCTCGGGCAGAGCCAAGCCCATTTTCTTTTTGTGTGTTTTCGTGTCGCCGACAGACTGCAATTCTTTTAAAATCGATTGTCTCAAAAACTTTTCATATTTATTCCTTATGCCCTAAGGATGACCTCTATTATTTTTGGTGCATGTCCAACAAGGCCAAGCCCAATTTTTGTGTGTGTCTGTGTTTAGCCTACATGGACAGAGGGCCTGACAAGGACAGCTGTCTAGTCATTCGGATAGGACAAAAAAACGAGGTCACGTGCACACATTGGCATGCATGTAAAATATCCCTCGACAGTTGGAATTCAATATAAGAGTAGGCCGTAGTGCCACTGTCGGGGCAAAATTTCCCTCATAGCACACTATATGGCATATGCCCTTCTTCATTAGCCCAGTTCAAACTTTGTGTAGTTGTTCATTCTGTGAATGCAATTTGATTGGCCAATAACCCTGTTTCTAATGGAGAGTGGGAGGGTGTATAAGGCGGGTTAAACTTGGATAGTTTATTTACAGCAATACCTTAAGTTCGATAATGAGCCTTTTCTGCTTAGGTTAGGTTATGCATTGTAATAAACAGTTTGATTGCTACATGTACGTGTTTTATAAAGATTAAGTTTGTGCGACGTCTGCCTCACTATTGCCACTAGCTACAAATGTTGTACCGTTAAACTGTGTTTAACGCTACAATTGATACTGTCTAAGACTCCTTACGCAAGTAGAAATGGGTTCAAACGCACAATTGTCAACACATATCATTACAATTTCTATCACAAATAGTGAAAACCGAGCCACTAAAATAGTTATTGAAGTTTTTCTTTGTGGTAATTATGTGTTCTACATTTTCAAAGCGACATTTCTTTTAATGTATGCCGCCATGACACCAGCCAGATGAAATCTCGCCAAATTTCGCACAACAGTTGGGTTTCATCAAATCATATAATTATGCAGTAAGACTTCACCTTTATTTCAATGGGAATTGGTTTATTTAAATTTATTATATGTTAAGCTATGTGAAGTACAGTTTGGGGCCAGTTAAGTGTAAATTAAACGGGCTATGGCTTGTAAACTTTTTGTGACTTGAGTAAGGAGGAAGACATCAGTAGTGGAACCATTTCTATATTGCCAAGAGCTTCTTTTTAAGAAATTGAAGGAATAACATTTGTGTACTGACTACTTCTACGAATTTAACTTACTGACAAAAATTACAGTTAGTTGTGGATTGTATTGAGCTCTTACTGTGAATACATGTCTAGTCTACAGTAATATTATATTAAGTGATTCTGCTTTATATACATGTAGGTAGTTATTAAATGTATTGTATAATTTATTTATTGAATAGTTTATTTTTGTAATTGACCTACATGTGTATAATAATAAAACATGTATGGTTGAAAATCTCATTCAGGTATTTGTAGTTAATATGTTTGTTTATTAAAAATTCAAAGTCAAAGAGACGATGAAACCCCCACACTCGAAAAAGTAGGAGGGCGGAAGATTCCCCTGTAACAATGTGGTCCGGTTTGGATCTCAGTGATGCATCTGAGGGAGAGCAGGAACCAGTCCGTGTAGAATAGATTAGTAAAGATAATCCCCCAGGAACAAACTAGATCAACACTGTGTGAATTTAAATCAGTATAATCTTCACCAAAACGCATTTCGGGCTAATAGCCCTTCATCAGTTGGCAATTTGAACAATATTAAAAAATAATCCCAGATTAGTGGTATATATACAAATTTTTGGCGCATGCGCCTTAAAATAAATTGGGATTAAATAATCCTTAGGTTAGGATTATTATTTAAAAGATTGAAAAAAAAATCCCTGTACTGGGATTAAAAAATGTTGAAAATTAAAAGATGTAGAAATTTAATCCCTGTACTGGAATTATATTAAAAAATCAGTGATCAAATTAAATTTTTCTGCTAACTGCTTCCAGGATTCTTCATATACATGTAGGTCTGGATCTTCTTGAGTAGGGTTCATTACGGAAACATTTTCTTCTTTCTGTTTTATTTCGGGAACATTTTCTATCAAGTGACTATTGTCAGGTAACATCAATGGCGGCCGTTTCCTGAGAGACGAATACGTATAGTCTCGGTCATCCGGAACCTCCTAGTCTTCAAACGTGCAGAGGTAGAATAGGCCTATACGTATGGAGTTTTATGCGATCGGTCTTAAAATGGGTGGTTATGAATTCAAAGGAGTAGTTTCGTAGCTAGTAGTTCAATTCTGGATCGTGAAATCGGTGATGCTGATAGGCGGTAGATATCGTATTGCGAGTGAATAGGGGGGTTGTTGGTCACCTCTATGAATAAAAATAATATTCTGTAGTCTAGAGGGTCTACACCTCGGCTGGGCCCCTCGACCAAAACTGTCCTGATATTCACCGATACACCGAGGAAAGGTGCTAATAAGTTACTTACATCACATTTCTATCGAGTATTGTGAACCAACATGTGAAAAATATTTATCATCGAGTCGTTTCAACCGAAAAGTGACAAATACTTTCTGCTCTTTCATTATTTATCCCTTTCTGAGCCTCACGTTACATTTCATGGTAGAATGATTTCGCTGTGGAGAGACGACCTGAGTAGTATTTACACGTGCGTCTTGCTATGATACTCTGAGCGTAAAACAATCACGTGTTTGTTTAGACCACACCGTCAAAACATCTTATCTATGGCGTAGAGGACTGCGATATTATTAAATGTAGGGTAAAGGAAATGCGAAACGTGGGTCATTCCTGGTGAAAGTATGCATCGGCGGATGGTTCTTCCGTTGAAATTTATTTGTAATAAAGTTTATGACTTTCTAGGCGTTTTTTTCATCCTGCTTATTATCAATGCCTGTGAAGTGTCCAGCAAGAGAACTGCGCCTTCTATCATCACAATTAATTAAAATAATTATTCAATATTCTAATATATATATTTTGCATATTAATATAAATCAAACCAAATTATAAAATAGATGCCAATTGATATGTAGCCTATAATAATTGACTTTTGTAATATGTTGTTATGTTAATTTAATGTCATTGTATATGTTTTTGAACTGCCATGTAGTTCCCCCCATTTTGTTTTGTTACTATGATTTTGACTAGTTGTTTCATGTACATTGGTTAGAGCCATCGTCTTCATTTGCGATCTGGATCGGACTAAACGTCCGCTACTGATTGCTTGATAGGTATCTAAAATGGTTTAAAAGTATCCGTGTATCAGAAATGAACAGTACTCTTTCTGTACATTACTGATACACGGATACTTTTAAGCATGTATTGCGATTAAACAGGACAGTTTTATCAAAGGTTACCAGTGGCAATGAGTAGAAGTGGGATGTAATGTGCAGATACATGTACATGTAAGTGGTTGGTTGTGGTCATATGAAATCTTATACATTAGTATAAGATTTGTAGCTAGTGTACTACCAGTGTAAATGTTCTCAATATCTGTTTTGAATGTAGACAGATGTTCTTATTATTTCGGATAGCAAATGATACCATTGAAGATACATCCTGTTCTGTTTTGAATAAAGTCTAGAAAAAATTTAAGATTAGATAGAGGAAGTATTAGTGCATGATTCACTATCAATTTAAAGATACATTATGTAAGATTTAGATAAAGAGCTAGCCATTCTTGCTAGTATTATACATGTAGTTCGAAAATAGATAATGTAAAATGAATAATTTGAAAATTTCATTCAAATTACCCTATTGCGAGTGACGATATTAACCTTGATGGTTTGACAAGTGTGCAATAATTGCAACCACCGCATTGGTTGTTCGAAGCTAAGTCTCCCTCCTCCATTTTTAGCTTAAATCAAAATATGGCTGAACTGTTCTAATAAATAATATCGAAGAAATCCGATGCCACCGAGAGTTGATTATGGCCTGGATAAGTTAATTAATGTCTAATTAATAATTTAGAAAACATTTCAGGCCTAAAGAAAGACCTGCAATAAGCAGATTTAGCTCTTGCATATTGTATGTTTAATATCAGGTACATGTATGTATACACGTACTGTACATGTATATTAGATTTGAAATTATTTGAATATAATTCTTTACTTTCCTATCAATCATAATAATGATTCTTGTCTGATGATGACTGAACAATTACTTGTGTGCTACTTACTGGTATACAATATGACATGTAAACACGGTGCTGGCTGAGAAAGTACCATGGGGATTTTCAAGAATTGTTTCCCCCCTTGGTCTTTGGTGCAGGATGGTGGGCTTGTCAAAGATCTGTCCAGTCCTTTGGACACTTGGAATATGAAATAGACTAGATCATACTACCACTATCTGGGCCAAATTTCGCTTATAGTACACTGCATGGCGTATGCCTGTCTTCATTAACCTGGTTGGTGCAGAACAGTAGGACGTTGTCATTGAACCCCATTTCATATCACAGCATGAAATGTTTATTTCAAAATATTGGCAAAATGTATGACAATACAAATGAATTTGTGTGGTGGTAGGGACAAATCTATCAATCACATGCTTAAACTGTACTATCATTTTTTTTTTGTTGTTCTCTTACAGATAGAGAAGATCAGTCCATCCTCTGCACGTAAGTTTATAAGATATCAAAAAATATGTAAACCTAATTGGTTCAGTGTTGCACAAAATCCACATCTTGCACATATTTTAAATGTCTCCTTCTATGGTTTAAATTCTGATGTATGTGAAAAATATGTTGCGGATGGTCATTTGTTGATCTTTATTTAAAAATACTATCATGTAACTCAAATTATCATGGTCAGTGTGTTTCCTGGAGCATGTGGCAATGACATGGCATGTGAGAATGATTTTTCTACGGCCATTTTAGCTCTTATTTATCTTCAAATGCAATTTGAAAAAATATTTCAGTAATAAATAATTATTATGCTATTTAGTATTTGACCAAATCTTTTTTTTATGGTTCCCAGCCTTTCGAAGAAAGCAGGGACCTATTAAAATGGGTTCGTTCGTCCGTCCGTCCGTCCATCACACTTTTTGGGATGCATTGATGTAGTTCGATGATGAACACTTTCTGATTACGATAAACAGAGATAAGCAATTTTATTGGTTGATTCTTTTGGGCACGATAACTTTGTTTAGAATTAAGTGAGAGCTATGAAACTCTTGAGTATAGATTCATTATATCAGTACATGTACCTTGACTAAGTTTGATGATAATTTTCTGCGTAGGCTAAGGAGCGATAAGCAATTTGATTGGTCAAGACTTTGGAACATAACAACTCTGCTTTTAATTGAGGTAGAATGTTTAAAAATTAAACTTGATGTTGATGTTGATTAGGTGAATGTCTTGACTAAGTTCAATGATTAACATTTCCTTCTTTGACTTTGATTCTATAGATCGGATAGAGAGTGATGAAACTTAGTGTAGATAATCAGTTTGTTTGCTCAATACTTTTCAAAAAGATAAACCTGCAATTAATTAATATGTGTCATCTATTTATTTTGGTATTTCGGTGGGGTGACATCAGCCTCACTGTTGGCTTGTTTCTTATTCCAAATCCAATGGAGGAATTTTTATGTACAGCAAATTGACACATGAATTCATGATACTATAAATAAAGAATATGAAAAATGATTTCAATTTGCAAAGTTTCTATGTGTTGTCCAAAATAACAAAAATGGAAGTTTTGTACTGTACTTTACCACAACTTATGTCCTAAATGTTTTCCTGGAATCTTATTTTATAGAGGCGAATCAGGGGCTGGTAAAACAGAAAATACTAAGAAAGTCATCCAGTATTTAGCGTATGTAGCTGCCTCATCACGATCAAACCGTTCATCGGTATCCAATGTAGCACATACCTCGGTAAGCTACTGCATGATTTTATTTCACTGACATTTATTTCCTGTCAGACAATTTTGCATGTCATTAAGTTGTCATATCTACACAGCCCAACTTATAGTCTGTTATATATCTATATTATACTCACCAGCTTCTGCATGTATATAATTGTGATCATTGTATGTTCATGTCTTGTCATTTCATTAATTGTAGAGGGCAAGTTTCTATAGGCCTATACATATTTAAATATTGATTCACAGATGTCATGTCCAATAGACTTCTGAAGGGAGAATCATATAATATTCTGAGGGAGTCACTTAAAATATAATTTTCTGTGTCCAAATTATATTTTTTCCTTGGTTATATTTGAGATCTACTCAAGTCTTGTAAAGAGTTGTACAGGATGTTTACAGTCAAGTTTGCCCCTCAGACTTCTGTCTCAAACTTGTCATAAATATTTACTTTATAAATTAATATACACTGGAATATGGTGCAATTTCTTTTTAAAGAGAAATAATTTAAAAGAATGTCCATGGTTGTATTGTTGACTGTATCTTATTGTTCACCGAGTGTTTGTGTGAACAGTTGAGGTAGACTGTTAATCTCTTTAAAGCAACTGTTTACCAGTCTAGGCCATACATATTATACAGGTGGCTTTAAAAGAATATTAATGTAGAACTTGAACCTCTTAAACTAGTAGCTGTAGGGATAATATCTTTATTCGGGTGTCCTCAAGCATAACATTATCTCAAGATGTAATTACTATTCTGTTTTGATATAAAGATAAAGTTAAGATATGGTTATTGTTAAACGATGTTGGCATTTGGTGACTATTGTGCATTATTCATGTACATTTTATGCAATGATAATATTTTAGATTTCAAGTCCATTGATTAGTTGCCTTCCATTATTGATGATTCATAACATTTATAATTGCTAGTCTACAGGTTGAGAGTCAAGCTATACAATAAATAAAATGGTTAACATATTTGTCAGTTAAAACCATGCAAATCATTGTCCTTTTATAGAAGCATTTTAATTTTGTGAATGCTTTTGAGGTTTAACAGTCATCTATGCAAAAGGACAGACACTGAGTCATACAATTGAATTTTAAACATGTGAATACTGCACAATTTAACCAGCATGTAAAGCCCGTTGTCGGTCTTATTTAAAATTTAACATTATTTTTATTTTTTAACCTACATGTAGCATGGTTGCCCAGTTTTATTCACATTGTTTAAGAAATCATCAAAATATATCTAGCATGATCTACTAGTTACAGTAAAAGAAATTTAACAGTTCAGTGCATACCCCATAACACATGAATGAATTCAATCATGGCTCATGCATGGGTAACATTCACCAAAAGATTCACTGTCATTTTGTCTCATATTATCTTCATCTTCTAAAACTGGTAATTACATGTACAACCTGTTCATAAGTAAAATATCACAGGTACATGGACTAAATTGATGAACGTATCCTGTATAAAGAGTTAAAAAATTTTATACGCCTTAGTACTTTTGTCTGTACTTAAAAGTTGCTTGTATAATGCATTAGCCATTACAATGAAACTTTTGAGTAAATCCTAGATGGCCTACATGTACTTATTGATGGTTCATTGAAAGTTTTCACACCTAATAAATACCACAGGATTGCACTTGATGTCAAATTAAGAATGAAGGTAAAACATCCCCTTTGGGGCATACATAGATAGGCTAGGTTAGTTGAAATTAAAATGACAGTGAATCATAAATCAGTTAGTACCATCATTGAATATTCATTACACATCATTCTGTTTTACTAAAGGGATGTAACTCTTTTTGAAGTAAAAGTACTACGGGTTTTGGTGTTCATCATCAAACACACTAAATATTAAATTTCATCATTCAATCGAATTCACATTCTGTCATTAATTTGTTATCATCAAACACACTACCTACAGTTAGATTTCATCATTTAATTCACGTTCTGTTATTTGCATGTTCGAAGTAACTAAACTAAAGTCATAAAGCTGGATGTTTTTTTGGGGCAAGAGACATTGTTCACATTTCACACAAGTGGCTGTATATGCTTGGCAAACTTTAAAACAGCTTTTTAGGGGGACTTCAAGCATTAAATTTTTCACAGCATTTTGTTATTTGAATTTTTATTAATTGTACATTTTTATAAGCCCACATTGAAATGTGGTGGTATATTGTCGTTATGGCCAGAGTTATGGCCCTTGATCACTTCAAAAACTCTTGTGGACGCTCTAAAGGCTAAAGTTAATATCCGATTGACTTTAAATTTATACACAGTGTTTAAGGTCATGAGACGAAGCCTATTGATTTTCAGCGATTTCCGATAATTACTGCCATAGTTATGGCCCTTGATCACTTCAAAAAATCTTGTGGACGCCCTAGAGGCCAAAGTTAATATCCGATTGACTTTAAATTTATACACAGTGTTTAAGGGCATGAGACGAAGAAATCTATTGATTTTCAGCGATATCTGATAATTACTGCCAGAGTTATGGCCTTTGATCACTTTGAAAATTCTTGCGGACGCTCTAGAGGCTAAAGTTAATATCTGATTGACTTTAAATTGATACAAAGTGTTTAAGGTCATGAGACGAAGAAGTCTAAAGATTTCCGATAATTACTGGCAAAGTTATGACCCTTGATCACTATGAAAAATCTTGTGACACTCTAGATGCTAAAATTATCATCCGATTGACTTCAAACTGATACACAGAGTTTAAGGTCTTGAGACGAACATGTATATTGAGTTTCAATGAATTTTTATAACTTGAACAGCAAAATCCATGATATTAAATGTTTAGTATACTAGCATGGGGCAGAATTTTAAAAAAAAAACCCAAATTCTAATCTGATAATTAATTAATGAGTTATTAGTGTATTATAAATGTTTCATTACCGAAAAAAATAAAAATATGTGATAACTCTTGTTGACTGCCTGGACGATTTAGCTGCTGTGGGTGTATGTTTCGTTGCCTGGCAACCGATCTTTCTTCATTAATAACATAATTATCTGGTGATCGTAATATTTTTGATATTTTCAAACATGAACATATTATTTTATACACTTCCACAAGCGCTTTCAATATTTTTATCAATGAATTTTTAGTTTATTTAATTTAGAGCTGTAGTTGGCTAAATATACAATACATGTAGTAACTATCAATACAGCACCATTAGATTAATTACTTATCTCTAAATAGAACAACTGTGTTATAAATTAACAAAGAATTTCTAGATGTTGTAATTTTTTGGCATGAGTGAATATTGTGTATGCATGATTTTTAAACTGAATTTTGTTTTTCTGTTGTGGGCAATCTATAGAACAGGGAGTTGAGTCTAGTAAGTACACTCTTAGCTTTTGTAGTACACTTTATTTTTTCAAGTATAAATAGAACTTTTCTTAAAAGTAAAGCTTTTAGTTTTTAGATGATCAATATTTTGAGTATCGGGAGAGAATGTTTTGAAGTGTTTTACATGTACATAATCTAACTAAAATACTAAATTATCAGAAGAGTGTTGGAAACATGCATTTTGTATCAATTTTAACATTTTAGATTATTAATTGGATAAATGTATTACTAAATAAACTCCAATCCTGATACTCGACCTTTATCCTGTTGGATCATATTGTAAACATTTGTTAGATTTGACCAGCAATCGTATTTAAGTTCCATTTGATTCATTGTTTTTATTCATGCTTTTGTTTCAGCTTTAATTCCAATTTGTTGTGCTTATTTTTTTCATTGTTTATTGATTTTTTTTTTATAAATTTAATATTAGTAGTAAATCTTTTGAAATATTTTTTAAGGCAGGATATTGATAAGATTTCATCCTTCACATTCTAATAATTAGACCATTTGGCGATATTCAAAATATTTACATTCAATTTACACATGTATACTTAATTATTTTAATTTTTTCCTACATTTGTTTGAAAATCATCTTATTTGTATTATTGTTTTCATCTATTTTAAAGCTTACCGTGATAGTCTCTCTATTAAATCTCAATAAGCTTCATTGTCTGGTTTAATTTTTTAAATCTAATAATCTGTTTGAAATTAGATAAGATTGTTCTAAGTAAGGTGAAATGGTTTATTTGTTGCACGATACAGTTACTGAACAGATCGGATAAAACTTAAAAGCTACTTGATTTCTGCACCTTCTTCTAGTAAATTCTACTTTTAATGAATTAAAATCAAACAATGGGATCATAGTTTATTATAAGGAGTTAATGTATATTCTATGGATGGCATTAGTAATTGTAACATAATCAAATATATTTACTAATTATGGATAACAATTACTATGGTTTATTACATGGTGACGTTTCAACAAGATTCACTAGTAGTTATCAAGCATATCAACACAAATAGATAAAATGAAATGATAAATCAATATGACCAATATACATGCACATACCATTACCAATCAACAAAATGTCAATGGTGTTAGGCCGCTGATGCACTAGATCGTTTTGATTTTTCTATAATATTGTTGTGGATATTCTTTAGTTGGCTCCTCCAAACAATACAGAAATGCAAATGTGCATCTAAATAAAAGTCATTGTCTAACTGTGCCACCAGCGAATAATTGGTGAAATCACCTTGATAACCTTTGACCAAATCATGAATTATTGATGGATGAGCAGAATGGCAAAATAAAGAGACTATCAGCTTTTTATGTGAGAACAAAAAATTGAGTAGAAGTATTAATAATTCTAGTGCAAAATTAATATAATGTTTTCCTGCTATTTTCAATCATCAATGGGTGTTTAGTCTGTGTGGTCAGTAATGTTCATCTCTTTCATTTATTGAAATTTAAGGCTTTTTGCATGATAAAATTTGCTCTGAAGGATGAGTATAAATAAAATTTTTGAAATAAAAAATATAATCCTAAAGTTCCTAGTTCACAATTTGAAGAAAATGTTATGACATTAATTACCCTATATGACAACATATAAAATAATTTATACGGAATAAACTTATAATTAAATTGATCGATTGATCATTTATAATTAATTACTAATTTGACCTATTTCTTTCAATTTGATTTATTGAATATTTATTTTAAAAACAAAGTGTTAGAATTGATACTGTAAGCTTGTATTTTGGTAGAAAGAGATGGAATAAAATAAATACATATTTTAAACAAGTTGATTTAAATATCATAAATATCACTTCACCATTTTTAATTGTTATAATTTACCAACCATAATATTTTTTTACAATGCTGTATTCAATGTTTTGTAGGGAGAATTAGAAAATCAATTATTACAAGCCAATCCTATCCTCGAGTCTTTTGGTAATGCTAAGACAATCAAGAATGACAACTCTTCGCGATTTGTAAGTATAGTGATATACCATCTTTGTTTATGATGGTCTAATAAGACTCTATTTCAATATACATCTAACAAGTAAACAAATAAATAACAAACCAAAATGTATTTGGAATGAATTGAAAATGGGGTTTAGCATCCTACTGTTCCTGCTCTGACTGGGCTAATAAAGACTTTAGTGTACTATGAGGTAAATTTTGCCCTGATATCGGCGCTATGGCCTACTCTTAACTTATATCGAATTCCAACTTCCAAATTTTCTTTTACGTGCACGCCAATGTGTACATCGTACCTTGGCTTGTCTGAACGACTATACATTGTCCTTTGCCAGTCCCTGCGTCACTGACAAGCGAGGAACCACGCTTGAAAATCCTGATGAACTTTCTCGGCCAACACGGCGATCGAACACAGGACCTCCAGGTAAGCGAGCCGAAGTCTTATTCACTGAGCCACTGCGTCTCCCAGATTTATTTGAATAAATGATTCTGTGCAAGAAATTAAATATGATTCAATTAGACAATTGTCAATACATATTTACCGACTGTTTTGAACAATAATTACATAGATATTTACTCAGATTTATTTTAACGTAAATATGTGCTAACCTGTTTTTGATTTTTGTATTTCAGGGTAAATTCATCCGAATTAACTTTGACTTATCAGGATATATATCTGGTGCCAATATTGAATCTTGTATCCTTTTATATTTCAACCTTAAGACATAATGGCAATAATAAAGCTCAATATCCAGAAAACATGCTCAGTGACAATAAAAAACTAGTGTCTAATAATACAGTTTTCAAGTCACTGTTCACTTGATGAGGTGTAGTGATAAAGTGAAGGTTAGAAGGAAGTTTATTCCATGTCCCCAAAAGACTGAACCTTAACAAATTTACGACGGGCTAGTCCATGTCAAAGGGAGATAATTTGAGTAACATTTTTTGGGCTATGACTATTAAATCTCTGCATTAAAATCAATGTTAAATTCATGCCATTTCTTGGTCTATAACATTTTTTTGAGGTTTCCAATGATGTAATACCCACAAAGACCCCCAGCATGTCACAATAATCTGATAAAATTTTGAATTGGTTGACCATCTCTTTTTTTCTGCACCTGGTCAAAGTGATCTATAGGCAGTGACATCATTTTGATATAGGTGATATGCCTAATTCATGTCTGTTTACTTCCTGACCCTTCTGTAACAAAATCATGAATATTTACCAAAACCTAGCAGAAAACATAATTTCAAACACTCTAGATCAGAAGTCAACAAAAATTGTCATCCAAATGGGAGAAAAAGAAACCATTGCTGTATTAGTGGTTGTGCAGTATAGATTGAAGATACAGTTGGGTTTTTTTTAAAACAGAGATTGAACTGGATTTTAAATCAAAATTATTTTATTTTTTATGTTGTATTTTAAATTTCTTGACATAATCAGATTTATTGGAGAAATCGAGAGCCGTTAGACAAGCTGAATCGGAAAGAACATTCCACGTGTTCTACCAATTTCTTAATGGAGCCACACCAAGTCAGAGAAGTAGGTCATTTTTCATTCAACTAGACTTGTCATATTTCCCACTCACTATTTTTCACTGAAAATGGTAGTCAAAATACTTCTCCAACAGTCAGTCTAAAACTTTAGGTGGTTAAATCTACTGTCAGTCTTTTAGAGAATATTTTGTATTGTTTTTTGTTTTTTTACAGAGGAATTTTTACTGGAGGACATGAAGAATTATAGATATTTGTCATATGGTAATGTTCCTGTACCAGGAGTTGATGATTCCCATGATTTCCAGAGTTTAGCTGAGTCTATGGGCATTATGGGAATATCTACAGATGATCAAGCTGGTTAGAATATAATTTTGTTTTGTTAATTACTAAATTATACAGACTTTGAAATGAACACTGTATGTGATTTTAGACCAGTTGTATAACAGTATTATTATAATAATTGTCTATGTTCCTGAAAGGAGAAGTCCCAGGTAATCTTAGTGAATAAAACTGGTTAATTTGGGGAAGGAGATGCAGACCTTTATCCTAGAGTTCAACAACTATCTCAAGCTCTTTTGTACATTTTAAAAGAAATACAATCCTTCTGTACTAAAGTAAATATCCGATTGACTTTAAATTTATACACAGTCTTTAATGTTATGGCCCTTGATCACTTTGAAATATCTTGTGGGCGCTCTAGTGGCTAAAGTTAATATTCTATTGACTTTTAATTGAGATGAAAATGCCCAGTGATTTTCAACGATTTCCAATAATTATTATCAGAGTTATGGCCCTTGATCACTTTGAAAAATCTTGTGGATGCTCTAGAGGCCAAAGTTATCATCCGATAACACAGAGTTTAAGGTCCCGAGTCGAACAAGTATATTGATTTTCAATTGGTTTTGATAACTTGAACAGCTAAATCCATGATATTAAATGTTTCGTATATACTAAACGTCAGCATGCGGCAGAACTAAAAGCCAAACAAATTCTAATGATTTTCTGATAATTACTTAATGAGTTGTTATTCTTAATCAGATTTGAGTGTATTATAAATGTTTGCGCAACTCTAGTTGACTGCTCAGATGACTTACCTGCTGTGGACGTATGTATTGTTGCCTGGCAACCTATCTTTCATACCAGCTATACCATTACATTTTGGCATTTGATGTACTGTGAAAAGTGAAATAGTGTCTTTCATTTATTAGAAATATTTGGTACTTATTTTCTTTTTATTTTCTATTTCAGCTATATTAAGAATTGTATCAGCTGTATTACAGTTTGGTAACATGCAATTTAAACAAGAGAGAAGCTCGGATCAGGCTACATTACCTGATAATACAGTTGCTCAGAAAGCCTGTCATTTACTAGGTCTACCAGTTACTGCTATTACTCAGGCTTTCCTTAAACCCAAGATTAAAGTGGGTAGAGATTACGTAACAAAGGCACAGACCAAAGAACAGGTTGATATTACTGTCATGTACTCAAAATAAATTACTGTAGACCAAAAATAGTAACTATGTACACCTCCCACATCACCCAAGTTTCACAACAACGTTATTAGTTATGAGTATTGTCAAATTTTTATGACCCTCATCTCTGGAAAAGTTAAAGCTGGTATTAAGTGTTGCGTAGTTTGTGTGGTGACAATGTCTGATATTTATATTATGAAAATACGAAAACAAAAATCAACTGGAATACAAGTAGAAGGCAACAAAAGTTAAAGAAAAGAAGAAAAAAAAGAGGGGGATTTCGATAACTTTTCGAACTTCACTAGCAGAACTGTTAATCAAGTTTGTAGATCGGAGGCTGAGCACAGGGGGGGTCCATCAAATGGGCACAAAACCAGACCCAACTTATCTAGAGTAAAATTTTGCGTAGAATACGATGCCGAGTGGTAATCAGTCCGCCGTTGGGGCGTTATCGAGATATTCAGGGTCAAAGGCCAAATGAGTTCATTTGCACCGAAAGTGAATGCGCAGTCATTAACTGTCAAATCAAAATCTCTCCGATTTATTTTCACAACGATTGTTATACATAATGATACTAGTTATCTGAAAAACAATTGAATAGTTTCAGTGTTGGGCTCCAGCCTGCAGGCCGCGTGGATTTCCGAGAATCCCAGTCTAGGAAAACCAACGTTAATCTGTGACAGGAAAACACGCATCTGGCGACGAGATTAAAAGTTTGCAAACTTTTTATGAATTTTTATGAATTTCGCTGGAACATGGACGTAGATAAAACCGACGAATGCATTGTACATAGTAGTTCACAGGATATATATGTCGTATTGGTAAATGTTAGCGGGGAAAATTTTGGCCGGCTTTGTGACGCGGCCTGCAGGATGGACTCCAGCCATGGAACTATTTAATTGTTTTTTTCAGACAACTAGTATCATTATGTATAGCATTCGTTGTAAAACTAATTCGGAGAGATTTTGATTTAACAGTTTTTACGTATTTTTGAAACAGGCTCCGAAGCGTTTTGGTTCTGTTATGCAAGATCATTTTCGACGTTCCAAAGTAAAAGTTTGGTGCTAAGACCACCTAAAGATGAATTTTAAATGTTCCTATTATTAATTAGAACAGGTTTCGCTTTAGTTTTTATATTTTACGCCGACATTTATTACTTTAAATCTTCCTAGTGCTAAAACGGAAAATGTGACCTTTTGACCTCTGGGGTCACAAAGAACAAAGGTGAATTTAGCAAGTTTACATTTTTATTGAAAGTGTGATTACTTTCGATCATTTTCAGCTTATTTTCACGATACAAGAATGACAGCGCATTCACTTTCAGTGCAAATGAACCCATTTGACCTTTGACCCCGAATATCTTGAAAACGCCCCAACGGCGGACTGATTACCACTCGGCATCGTATTCTACGCAAAATTTTACTCTAGAAAAGATGGGTCTGGTTTTGTGCCCATTTGATGGACCCCCCCCCCCCCCCCCCGCTGAGCCTCCAGACTATTGATAAATTCAGGCAAATTGATTAGCAATGTCCAGTTATTATCAGCAGTGTTTGAATGTCGGAGAAATGAGATTGAAGTGAAGTCTATCTGTTAAATTTACAATATTATGCAAAGCTTTATTTCAGTCACGGGGGGTTGGATGGCCGAATGGTTAGCACGTGCGTGCTGTATCATACGGCCTGTCATTGAGTCAACTGGCGTAGTTTCGAATCCCCGGTTGTAAGTGACAAGGAGTAGGGTCGCCTGTCCAACCTCGTGGGTTTTCTCCGGGTACTCTGGTTTCCTCCCACTGCTAAAGACCCCTACGCGCAAGCGAATTAATGAAATAAAATTAACCACATGTTAGTCCCGAAATGACCTAGTTTGTGTCGAGTGGACGTTAAACCCCATTTCTCTCTCTCTCTCTATTTCAGTCACACTATTTCAAAAATATTGTTATAAATATTTCAAGGTCTGCTCACTGCTGTGTATACTCTCTCGTCTATCTTAACCAGTAAGAAACATAGTAGGCCTATCGGAATAATTTCGATGACATTACTTACCGGGTTGATTCGTATTTTGAACATTCAATATTCACGTCATTTGTTGACGTAACAGCCATTTAGTCTTTAGTGCTGATATGAATCAAGTAATATTTTACGCATCGATGCATTGGAAGCAAACAGATACTTGCAATGCATTGATGATACTTCGGTAAATTTGACAGACATTACAATAAAAATCGCTATTGTCGATCGTAAATTCCCTGCCTCAAATCCCTGTTACAAATTCTGTAAATGTGTTATTTAGTGCCTGCTTAATACTAGTACCTACCTATGTTGTATTCGATAATATCTATCCCATTTGGTGAAGAAAATCCATGAATTATTTTTATTTGATCAAAAAAAACACCATTCATAAAAAAAAAAAAATTGGGGATTTACTCGGGGTGCTAAAACTTTGCTTTTAGCAATAATAGGTATTAGATACTAGATGATTGTGACTAAACTAGCAAAGAAATGTTGAAAAATCTTTTACACTTAAAAAGGTGAAATAAAATTGTGCATGTGAGAAATAAAAGAAGCAAAATCTATGATTAACATTTGTGTGAATCAAGTTAGCTACTTTGTAGCAAATTGATTATTAATGGGCTAGATTTGATTTGCAAAGTGCAAGGCGAATCCGGTTGTCGAGACCCCTGTTTGCATCAGCTTTAAAAGTTAAATTGATCTGTTGATAAACATGCTTGGTAGTATAATCTACCAGAGAATTTTCTGATTTTGTTTAAATAAACCTAATTGTTTGTATTGTTATCTAATTCAGGTTGAATTTGCTGTAGAAGCTATATCTAAAGCTCTTTATGAACGTATGTTTAAATGGATTGTAACCAGAATCAACAAATCACTAGATAAAACCAAACGACAAGGAGCTAGTTTTATTGGTATTCTGGATATTGCAGGTTTTGAAATCTTTAAGGTAAATATATATCAAAGAAGGCTATTTTGTTTCATGTCTGACATTTCACAAGAAATAACAGGGTGGTTAATTGACAATGATAATAGTGTGATATTACACAATGGCATTCTTTGCTATAAAGCAGGGTTTGAATACATACATGAGGGATTCCTATGTCTATCAACAGTCTAAAAGAGAAACTCTAAGCGTATAATTATAGATCTATGAAATAAACTCTTAACATCCTAGTGTAAAGTGATGTTTGTACATATTTGTTGTCATTTCACTGTTTCTGTTACCTACTGTATTTTAGTTACAAAAGTAATGTAAATCTGTATTAAATTTTCAGAAGGATGAAAAGGTAACAGTGTGTGATATATAAATACCACTGCATCAGCTAACACCATTGTTAGATTGATTATAACTGATACCTAGATGTTTCATACTTTAGATGTTTATATGCCCTGTATTTAAATGTGGTCGTGTATTGTCTTCACCTCTGTCTGTCATCTGCTATTGCTGGTGAAGCACTAGCGGCAAAGTTATCAGAGAGTGTTTAAGATGGAGAATCCTATTTCTTTTCAACCAAGTCTAGTGGACTCTCTATGGGTTTAAATTATACAATTGACTTATGTCTTCTGCTGAATTATAACAATTCTGATAATTACTTTCAAAGTTATTGCCCCAGTTTATTCTTGTTCAAGCATTAGTGGCTAGTTATCATCCAACTGACTTCATATTTATATATATTGTTTATATTTATGAGACAATTTAGCACATTAGTTATTATTTATTGGTATTTCTAATAATAACTTGTAGAGTTATTGCTCTTGATCACTTTGAAAAATCTTGTTGCTGCTCTAGAATTATTGATTGACTCAAACTTTATATCCTATTGACATTTAACAGCATCCCAAGAATTTTTAGTGTCTTTTTAATGCTCTAGTTACCTATGAAAAAATCACAATACGACAAACTTAATGAACTGCTTGGACGACTTGCTGCTGTGGGTGTATATATTGTTGCCTGGCAACCTATCTTAATATTTAACTCCAGTTCTTAACTACTCCTTTTGTCTCATATTTGTTGTAGGGCTCGGATTTTGATGGCAAAGCAAAAGGGGTAGATTTTGTTTTTGCTGTTTTAATTTTTCTATTTTGAAGTTTGCATGAATGTTACTTTGTTGTTCCAAGTGACATTATATTCAACAGAGTTTAGATAATTTAGTTATCTTTGTTTTTCTGGACTTCTTATTTACTCCCTAATAATAAACCTGCTTTGAATATATTTGGATTCCAGCCACTACAGGCTTAACTGCCTTTGCATGGTTTTGTTAATGAACTGGGCTTTGATTAAAAGAATTGACTTGATGCCATCCATGGTCACAATGGTACTATGGTAACTTGTTTGTTTTTATTGCAGAAGAACCCAGGCAGCTTATAAATTGTAAATTATTAATTTAGTTGCATGAAGTTTTTGTCAGTTATTAATTTTCAATGCCCACATAGAGATGTAATTGTATAACGCCTCCACCAATGTATGACTGTCCTCCGCAATTTCTTATGAACACTTGACAGACTACATTCATCATCCAATCTTTTTAAATATACGCTAAATTGAGATAAATAAGTCTATTGAGTGATTTTTGAAAATACATTCCCCAGTTGTTGGCCTTGAACACTTCGTAGAATCTTGAGAATGCTCCAACAGCAATGTTATTTGATTGCTGGAAGCAAATTTTGTATGCATTGTTCAAATTAGTAAGGCGGGAAGTCTTTTTGAATTTGAACAACTCTGTTAAGTACTTCTGCAATCATGTCATTTGTATACCTTAGCTGCTGTGGATGTGTTTTATTATATGGCAAACTATCTTTATACCTAGAAGGTTGCGTTTGCTTAAAATTGCTATTTTTACTAGAAACGTTTCGTGCCATTTTAAGGGGGTTGAAATTGTGGTTGAAAAGAGTATAAACAATGGCTTTGAATTTTGAATGATCCTGCCTCGTGGCAAACAGGAGATGTGGGTACTCAAAACCAAATTGATATTGCCTACTAACAGCAAAAATATTTCAATTGAATACAAAGTCCTGCATTTAAAATAAATAATTTTGTAATTTTTGTAGTGTTGTAAGATTTTTGAGGTTTATTGTTCAATTCAATGGATCCTACTTCTAAAATTCCTATTTTCTATGCAATATTGGCTCATTTGTGAGTTGTCTTTTGCATTGATAACAGCTTTGTAATAGGTTTATGTGTAAGCTATAATTATGAGTTGTATATTTCAGATGAATTCGTTTGAACAGTTGTGTATTAATTACACTAATGAGAAGCTACAACAATTGTTTAATCACACTATGTTTGTATTAGAACAAGAAGAATATCAGAGAGAAGGAATTGAATGGAAATTTATTGACTTTGGTCTTGATCTCCAACCAACTATTGACCTGTTAGAAAAGGTATAAATCATATTTTGTGTCTAACACAAGTCACTGTTTTGCTGGGTCCAGTCGTACAGACATGTACTCATTTACTTACATGTAAAAGAACCTTCTTTACTTATGGGATTTGATGAAAAGTACATGAAGATGTTACTTTCAGGGCAAAATATTTTGCCTTGTATTACACACTTGACAAATAGTATAAAATTTATCCACAGTTATCTTGAAATGGCTTAAATAAGGCTTCAACCAGATAGACCTCATTCCATTTTGAAGCTGATCAAATTTGTTGTTAAATGTTAAAAGTATTTTATATAAAATCTTACCTGTATTATTTGATATCAAATATTGACAACAATTAAACCTTCTTTCTTTCTAATTTTTCAGCCTATGGGTATTATGGCCTTGTTAGATGAAGAATGTTGGTTCCCTAAAGCCACTGATAAAACCTTTGTTGATAAATTGACTAATCAACATGCAACTCATCCTAAATTTACCAAGAAAGATTTCCGTCAAGATGCTGATTTTAGTCTTGTGCACTATGCTGGAAGTGTAAGTACATATTTGAAATTAGCTGCCCTTTGTCATACTATCTATCTTACTATTCTCAAATTGTGTAGCTGGTTTACTTGTTAAATCTTCTTAAATTTTTATACATGTATTATCTATCCTTAAATATTAGAGGTACATATCTTTTACTGTTTAACTGATATTTAATGTTTTATTACATTGTTTAATGTAAATTCATTCGTAGGTGGCATATCAAGCTGATAGATGGTTGGTTAAAAATATGGATCCTCTCAATGAGAATGTTGTTTCTATCATGCAACAAGCTTCTGATCCTTTTATCGCTAATCTGTGGAAAGATGGTAAGACAGGGATACAGATTCTCTCATTTATTCTTTGAATGGTATTTAGTAATTAGAACATAATCAAATAACACACTTTTATCGGATAACAATTAGTATGGTTTATTTCACTGTGACTTTTCAACAAGATTTCACAAGTCGTTATCAAGCATATACAATTAAAAGATCCCTTTTTAGCAGCATTTAAGTTGACTAGAGATTTAACAATTAAGCCTTTGGGAATTAAGTCACTGTTTCTACATCTCATTAAGAAGGTCACACTGTTGCTTGCACGTGTATACTTATCCTTACATTTACTTAGTTGAATAATGAGGTTAACAGCCACATCACAATATTGATGTCTAACACACTCTTTGAATGTCATTTAGCAAACATCATGATCACTCACAGAAAATGATATGACAATTCTTTGAAATAACTTTAATGTGGTCGTTAATGTCATTGATTTTTATGTTATTTTCAGCTGAGATCGTTGGAATGGGAGCTGCGGCAGCGGTTGATACTATGTTTGGATCCCGTACTAGAAAAGGAATGTTTCGAACTGTCAGTCAATTATATAAAGAGCAGCTATCTAAACTTATGTCAACTCTACGTAATACTAACCCTAATTTCGTACGATGTATTATTCCAAATCATGAAAAGAAGGTAAATATGTTTTGAATTCACAGCTGCATCAGGAAAATGGACTTTGTGATAAATCTGCCATCTGTGCAATCACTCTAATTGTAAATGACAAGGGTACCCTAGCTTTATTGAGAATCTTTTGAAATGAGAAGAACTTTCAAATTTTTTCAAGCTTTGTTCTCAGTTAGGTTGTTATCATTGTTTTTATAATCATTAAATGGTTAGATGTTAAACTTATTGTTGACTTACTACATTTATCCCTGTTTTCATTTTAGGCTGGTAAGATTACCTCACCTTTAGTTTTGGATCAGTTGAGGTGTAATGGTGTATTAGAGGGTATTCGTATTTGTCGTCAAGGTTTCCCCAACAGAATTATCTTTCAAGAGTTCCGTCAAAGATATGAAATCCTCACTCCTAATGCTATACCACGTGGATTTATGGATGGAAAGAAAGCTGTAGAGAAAATGGTAGGCATCCATTACATCACTATGGAATTGAGGAACTATGTATACACATGGAATACAATTACTGATTATTACTGTGCAAAGTTTCAACTAGGCTTCTCTAGACTTTATCAAACAATGGCACATTCATGTTATTTTGCTCAATACTGTTTGCAATCATCTCCGGCTACAAATTGTTTTTGTTACCATTTATTATTTTAATTCCTATATACCATGATATAATATTTTTAAATTCTACAGCTTATAATAACCCTTGTTTTATCCACAGATTTCTGCCCTAGAATTAGACAAGAATCTATATAGAATTGGTCAAAGTAAGATCTTTTTCCGTGCTGGTGTATTAGCTCATCTAGAGGAAGAGAGAGATTTAAAACTCACTGATATAATTGTACAATTCCAAGCCTTAGCTAGAGGTTTATTGGCCAGAAGGTAAGATACATATATTAGGCGGCACAAAAAAATATTTGTTTCTCTGACAATTCTTTTAAAAAAAAAAAGTTAATGCAGGAGAGCGGTTCTGGGTTTTTTTGTTTGTTTTTATTTTGTCAAAATTTTACCAGATTTTCATTTTTAAAGATGGGTTCCCGCGTACAAACTCAGTGATTTAATGGTATATATGGACCAAAAACATATTCAAACTAATTAATTTGTCATAATTATGCTTCAAATCCTTCTCAAACAAGTTCATGTTTACGTCATGTCTTGGGAGTCAGAGGAGAATTCATTGCATACATAAGACGATGTTGTCTTTAATCACTTACCCACGTCTTTTTCCGTCATTTTTATCTCAGAAAGTATTGTACGTTTAACTCTTCATAAAGTTTATCTACTTGTACATCAAGCGCTCAAATGTTCGCTTGTGACCTTTGACATCACGCGTGCAGAAGTTCTTAATCGTCGGGCTGTTGATTAGGGGAACCCTTACATTTTTGTCCTGTATACGCTCCAGTATTTTTCTAGTAAGATTGGATATCTCTACTTTCCATATATACCAAAATTGCCATACTTTTATTGGAAATAAATACCCGATAAATACTTTTCTGGGAACACATCTTTAAGAAACACACAAAATTATTATAAATCTGATATTTATTTAACTCTTAATAAGAAAAACAAGTAAGATTTTGAATTAACGGCTGAATAATTCCATGAGTTCATCTAGATTAACCCCTGGGAAGATGTTTTCAAATCTGCCGTTTTTTGTTTTGGCGACCATTGCATGGTATCGATACCGTTATCATTGTTAAAGCATGGATTATGCTGGCGTTTTAAAGTAGCTAAGTCTCTAACTCAATATCATCCAAAGTCTTCGACATTGAAGACATGAATTATTTTGTCAATTTAAATTAACATTGATGTTGTGATCTTACCGGGAAAAGATGGGCTTCTGATATCCAATATTTAAGACAAAATAAACATTTTACCATTGGTACACAATTGCATTTCAGCGCAATTTGCAACAAGGGACTCGAAGAATGAGGCTAGACATATTTCACAAGTCATGTCAAACGGTGAAGCCATATTCTTATCTAGAGAGCATGTGCAATAAATACTATTGGTGTAGACTGGAATAACCAGACGCTAGAGATTGGTGTTAGATTGAGACTTCAGGCATATTTTACTGAACATAACTGATTAGAAATTAGCGTAAAAACAGAAATGATTGAATGTTAATCAGTTTATATACAATGTACATTCATATAACATTATTATATGCGTTGCAACCCATCTGTGTCAATTTCTAGATTCCAAATATTAGTAATTTAGTGCCCTCAATCTCCCTGTGGAGAATACTTACGGTCATCTCTCTCACACTCTGGAAGGAAAGATGAGGCATTTTGGTCGTAAAAGAAGACCAATTGACAGCAAAATTGTTGCCATCATTGGAAATTTAATGAACTTTGAATTATTTCATTCTTTTTTCTTTAGGAATTATCAGAAACGTCTTCAACAGCTGAATGCTATCCGAGTTATTCAGAGAAATTGTTCTGCTTATCTCAAATTAAGAAATTGGCAATGGTGGAGATTATTTACAAAGGTACATTTCATCTTTGTTAACCTGTCACTAATGTATATATATTTCTAAACATACTGTTGCAGTATTTTACACACTCACTGAAAAACACTAAATTTAAAACAAATTGATGGACTGCAGCACTATAAAAAAAAAAAAAAATGATTTATATGCTTATTGAACAGAATTTCCATTACACAATAATGTTCTCATTAACTGTTGGATTATTGACAGTTCATGTGCTTGGGATAGCTATTTTGTGCAACTGAAATAATTGTTTAAAATACAACATTTGATGTTGTATGTAACATATTACTATTGGAAGGCTTTGATTTCTGATGTAGTTTACAATATAAAGTAGAAATTGTCTAAACTTTAATAAAGAAGAAATAGGAAATAATTGATATAGTTAATTTATTTATTATGTTTTCAATTTACAGGTTAAACCTTTGTTATCTGTTACTGGACAAGAAGAAGAGATGGTAAAGAAGGAAGAAGAAGCCAAAAGAATGAAAGAAAATATGGAGAAACAACAACAAGATTTGTTAGAATTTGAGAAACGATTTACTCAGGTTATTGAAGAGAAGAATATCTTGGCTGAGCAGCTTCAAGCCGAGACTGAGCTATGTGCTGAGGCTGAAGAAGTATGTTATTTTTATACGCTCTTATTTTCATGTGGACGTATATTGTCATCGCCCCTATCCGTCCCTCCACAGTTTGTTTGTGGACACTTTACAGGTCGCAATTTTTATCCGATTTTGACGAAACTTAAAATACAGGTTTATCTCTGAAAGCTCCCGGTTTCTCTTGATTTTGGCACCTATCTGACTGTAACTTCATGGATTATGGCCCCTCTTAAGAGGTCACACTTTTTATCCGATTTTGATGAAACTTGAAATATATGTTTATAACCCACAGATCTTGGTTTATGTCGATATTCGCGCACATTGGACCTTAACTTCCTGGATTATGGCCCCTGATTCTACGAAAAATCACGTTTATTTTGGGTTTTTTAGCTTGTTTTCTATCCCATCTCTTGCAAAATGTGGGAGTATATTGCATGGCAACCCTGGTTATGTTTATTGGTTGAAATGGTAAAACTGACCTGCATTTAAGTTAATCTTTCATAGTTCTGATATACATTGATATTATCTACCTATGTAGCTCTGAATGCTAAAGTATCCCAATATGAATTCCAATATTGGCTTTTAGGACGTTAAACCCCATTTCATTTCATTTCATTTCCAATATTGGCTTTAAAACTTCTCCAGATCAATGGTAAATTAACCCAATATTATCTACAAATTTCCGTATTAATGTTAAGGCATCCACATATTATTAATGTTGAAGCAAAACATAAGACTAGAATCTAATGTCTATTTCAGTCTCGCGTTCGACTTGCTGCTAGAAAACAAGAGTTAGAAGAAGTAATGCATGATCTAGAATTACGTCTGGAAGAAGAAGAAGATAGATATAGTTCTGTACTTGAAGAAAAGAAGAAGTTTCAACAGACTTTACAAGATTTAGAAGATCAGTAAGTTGAATATTTGATCGGCATCATTGCTTTCGGACTGTATAGGAATAGTGGAAATTGTGTTTTTTGTTTTAATCTCAGATTGTGTGAATACCTTTCATAATGTTGATGTTCTAAAAAAAAACACATTTAGGAGCTATTGAGTTCCTGCATACTTTTTTCTTATGAGATAGTCCAATCATTTCTCTCATCCGGTGGTAAGCAATCTGATTAAAATACACATCTATATTTCGTTTCGTTTTTTTATACTTTCGATGGCCTACACTACATGAAGATGTGACAAGTTATAGCGATAGGTCACGTCAGGGGTCAAATAACAGACTTATGACCCTATGATGTCAGACATTTGATTAACCAATCAGCATTGATGTTACTAGTGGATTACCCACAGTTCCGTGCAAAACACGCCTAAAGCTCGCCATAACAGACCGTTTCATTGGCTTATCCCTGACACCATTCAGAACACGAGCTAAATAATAACTCTTCTAGATCCAAGTGTAGTAAAGACAAGTAAAACGAAATTTATAACTATATAAACAAAACGAAATAGGATCTGTGTTTTAACCAGATTGGGTGGTAATCACTCTAAATAATCATAAGATCAACTATTGAACACCCTGTACGAACTGTTAGCTATGGACAGCGTTCTTTTGAATATCAAGCATCTCTGTTATGGATCCAACTTCCAGAAAATATATGGAATGTTGAAACAGTACATATTTTAAAACAACTTTTAAAAACTCACTTTTTTCACCAAGCTTTTTAATTAACATTTCTTTTAACTGCTTTTTTTTAGGACTTGATTGTTGTTTGTGTGTTCAGTATAATCAATTCTTTCAATGACATTTAGTAATTGAACTGGAATAAACAGGTCACAATTCTATGGAATACAATAACTGCTTATTACTGATCGACGTTTCGACTAGGCTTCTCTAGTCATTACTTGATAATGACTAGAGAAGCCTAGTTGAAATGTCGCTCAGTAGTAATTGTATTCCATAGAATTGTGACCAGTATATTATGTATAGTATATGAGATCTCAAATTTTTGTGCAGTGCCTTAGAGCACAGCAGTGGGTATAAGTGTGCATAATAATATATAGTGTAATTTATTGTTCCCTGTCTTTAGAAGAAAGCAGGGGACTATTAAAATGGGTCTTTCCATCTGTCTGTCCGTCCGTCACACTTTTTGGGACACAATAACACTCCTTCTAATTGAGGTAGAATGTTCAAACTTGGTGTAGGTATTTATTAGGTGAATACCTTGATGGAATTCCAAGATGAGCATTTTCTGCATTAGGTAAGCAGTGATAAGCAATTTGATTGGTTGATGCTTCGGTTCTAATTAAGTGAGAGTGATGAAACTTGGCATATAGTTTCGTCACATCAATACCTTGACTAAGTTCGATAATGAACATTTTCAGCTCAACAACTATAATTCTAATTGAGTGATAGCGGTGAAACTTCGTGTATAGTTTCATTTCACCAATACCTTGCTTAACAAAGTTCGATGCTGAGCAAAGTAAAGACTTCAATCTGATTGGTCGAGGCTTTGAAACACAATAGCCCTCCTAATTGAGGTAGAATGTTCAAACTTGGCTGTAGGTGTCTATTAAGTGAATGTCTTGAAGAGGTTGATCATGTGCATTTCCCACTAGGGCTAAGCAGAGATAAGCAATTTAATTGGGTGAGACCATGGAACACGATAACTTTGGTTCTAATTGGGTGAGAGCGATGAGAATTTTCTGATTAACATTTCCCGCTAAAGCTAAGCTGAGCTTAGCCGTTTCATTGGTCGATGCTTTGGGACAAGATATCTAACTGATGGAGAGTGATGAAACTTGGTGTATAGTATCACTCACTACCAGGTACTTCAAAACCTTGACTTAGTTTGAACGTGAACATTTTATGATTAAACTAAGTATAAATAATCAGTTGGATTGCGATACTTTTGTAAAAGATAAATGTGCAATTAATTAATTTCGACAGGGGACATCAGCCTTACTGTTGGCTTGTTTGATCTTTATTTAGGTTAGAAGAAGAAGAACAAGCTAGACAAAAACTACAGTTAGAGAGAGTATCTGGTGAATCAAAGATTAAAAAGATGGAAGAAGATTTGGCCTTATTAGAGGATCAGAATCAGAAATTAATCAAAGAGAAGAAGAGTTTAGAAGAAAGAATGAATGATATATCTCTACAAGCTGTAGAAGAAGAAGAAAAAGCTAAACAACTTGGTAAACTAAAGAATAAATATGAAGCGATTATTGCTGATTTAGAAGAACGGTTGAGAAAAGAACAACAGGTAACTGGAATATATTGTTCTGCATTTCTAGGTTACTTTGAGATATTTGATATATACTATTCAAAAAAAGTAGGGGATATTTGATTTTGGGGGCATAATACTAAAATATGCAAATGACTACGAAAAAAGTCACTATAGAACCTAACAGAAGAAACATTTCCAGTTACATGTGACGCCCAAACGCACCAATAGCTACCGCATGGAATGCAGGTGATGCTTGGGATCATCATGGGGGTCCAACCCAAGATTTGCACGACTCTGACTTTGAATGTTACAGTCATTGTGGCATTGAATTCCAGGGTGGAAACATCAGTTTAATTGGTTTAGTGACCAGAAAACAAATTTTGATATGCGTCGGCTTACCCAAAATGAAAGGTTACGTGCCCTTGGCATGCTACAGATCGGCAAAACACAGGCGGTTGTGGCGCGGACGATGAATGTTTCTCAGTCTGTCATAAGCAGGCTATGGTCCAGATACCGTGATACACAATCTGTACAGGACAGACCACGCTCAGGTCGACCAAGGGCGACAACTCAAGCCCAGGATCGATTTATCCGTACCTTGGCCTTGAGAAATCGTGTCATCACAGCAAATCAGATCAGCGCTCGTCTTCAAACAGACACTGGTGTGAGAGTGAGTGGCCAGACGATTCGGAATCGACTGCATAGGGGTCACCTTCGCGCCCGACGTCCTCGCGTGATCCCTTGTTTGAGAGATCATCACATTCAGGCAAGACGTCGTTGGTGTAGGGATCGTCAACACTGGGATAATCGACGCTGGAGCAATGTGATGTTTTCATATGAGTCAAGGTTCACTGTTGATTTTTTGGACAGACGTAGGAGGGTGTGGCGTCGTCGAAACGAGCGCTTCCAAGACGTTAACGTCATCAGACATGATCGATTTGGGGGTGGTTCTGTTATGGTGTGGGGAGGCATCACTGTTGCTGGAAGAACGGCTTTACATGTTGTTGCAGGGCGTGTTATAGGCCAGTACTACCGGGACAACATCTTGGCAGTCCATGTTGTGCCGTTCGCACGACGTCATGGCCACCGTTTCATCTTCCAGGATGACAACGCAAGATGTCACAGGGCCAGGATCGTTACAGGTTACCTCCAACAACAGAACATCACCACATTACCTTGGCCAGCACTGAAACCCGACCTCTCCCCCATCGAGCATGTCTGGGACATGCTTGGACAGAGGTTACGTCAACGTCAACGTCCTGCCAATGTCCAAGAACTTGCTGCTGCGTTGCAACAGGAATGGGACAATCTGGACCAAAATGATCTTAGACGTCTCATTAGGAGTATGCCACGTCGGATCAATGCTTGTTTGGCAAACAGAGGAGGATTTACCCGTTACTGACTTGGTTGTGATGCTGTGGTAACTTTGCTGTTTGACCCCGGGTATCATTTTACCCTTATAATGGTCAGTCTGTGCCTTACTTAGTCTAACGATCATTTGGAATAAATCGATGAATGTGAACTTCATTTCATTTTGTCATTTGTTTCTTCGTCAGTTTCATTAGGTGACTTTAATAACACTTAAAAATCAAATATCCCCTACTTTTTTTGAATAGTATATATGGGGGGATGGATGGCCGAATGGTTAGCGAGTGTGCGCTGTATCGTAAGGTTTGTCTTTGAGTCAACTTGCATGGTTTCGATTCCCGGTTGTACGTGGCAAGAAGTAGGGTCGCCTGTCCAACCTCATGGGTTTTCTCCAGGTCCTGCGGTTTCCTCCCACTGCTAAAGACCCCTACAAGCAAGGGAATTATTGAAATAAAATTGAACCACATATTAGTCTCAAAATGACCTAGTTTGTGTTGATTGGATGTTGAGCACCATCTCTCTCTCTCTCTCTCTCTCTCTCTCTCTCTCTCTTTGATTTAAATTTTGTAAACTGTTTCACATAGTAGTATTACAGACCAATTCAGTGAAAATTCAGTTTTACAGAATTCATTCCATCTATTTATATCTTTGCATTAGATATTCACAGAAATATACTCAGTTGGTTTCTTGATCTGATTACTTTATTTTATTTACATGTGTAGGCTCGCCAAGAATTGGAGAAGATTCGTAGACGTCTAGAAACTGAATTAAACGATCTACGAGATCAACTTAGTGAGAAACGTGATCAAGTTGAAGACCTTCAACAACAGTTATTGAGACGCGAGGAAGAAGTTCAACAATCCTTGCAAAAGTAAGTTCTCGTGCTTTAGATTTATTTTTACAGAATTAATCTACCTATTATAAGAGATCTAAATGCTAGTTTCCTTTAACTGCTAAAGACCCTGTGTACAAGCAAACTGGCAGTTGGAATACAAATAAGGTTTGCATAGAAATAGTAAAACTAGAAATAAAATTACAATGTTAATCTCAGAATGACCTGTGTAACATGTCGACCATTCGTTTTTCTATGCCTTCTATCCTTTGATTGTTTGATTAGTTTCATGCATCATTTGTTGAATCCCACTTCAGATATTTCTGATAGCTGTAGGCCTAGTTAACTAAATTTACATTGCTTACTTCCTATAACTAATGGTTCTTCCAACTATAATAAAAGTAGAAGTTGATAATGGTAGCAGTTTACATAATAAATGTAAGACGTTTTGGACTTAGACACTTTATAAGTTTTATGTCTGTGTTATTATCTTCCATCTAGAACTGATGAAGAAGCTGGACAAAGATCAGTTCTTCAGAAACAGATGAGAGAGTTACAAAACCAAATACAAGAACTACAAGAAGATTTAGATACTGAAAAGGAATCTAGAAATAAAGCTGAGAAGCAAAAACGTGATTTGAATGAGGTATATTTTTGCAGTATATATATTTGAATGAACCGTTTTTATACTGAAACCTTGTTAAAGAGATAAGCTCTACCCCCACCCATTAGGTCTAATGTGATCAAAAAACACTTAAAAACACATATTCAATTGTTTCAAATAGTGTACAGGAATGCAATCCCAGCCGGTTTCAGTAGAAAGTAGGGTCAAGTACTAGCTGGTCTGATGATGTCTAAAGATATGTTAAAAAAAAACCATGTTCTTGGTCTGAGGCAACAGAATGATAATCAGATGTCTAAATAATCAAAGCCTTTCAAAAGATTTTGCAGAATTTCCAGTATCGAAAGTTTTTATTGGTAGACTAATCTGGAATTGGCCAATCATAATCTGATCGGTAATGTGACTATATTGTATATAGATGAGCTCTCCTCGCTATATAGTGGTAAGATTTTGTGATGGGGACGTAAACATTATCCCCATGTTTTACTTGTAATCTTTTATCCTATAGGAATTAGAAGCTTTGAAAACTGAACTGGAAGATTCTTTGGATACAACTGCAGCTGTCCAGGATGTTCGGCAAAAACGTGAACAAGAAGTATCAGAAATGAAGAAACAGGTTGAGTCCTCACAGAAACAACATGAGAGTCAGATACAGGAGATGCGTAATAAATACACGGCTCAACTTGAAGCTCTTAGTGAAGAAATTGAGAATACAAGAAAGGTATGTGTATATCTTAATTTCTGCATTAATTGGTGGTCCTTTGGTAATACAACTTTCAGTGGATCGAAAATGATTAAATTACCGGAAAAGAAATTTGATTTCAAAGTGATCTAACGCAATTGTCAAGGTCCCTAAACGCAAGCTAAAAACAAATGACCTGATAGTTTGTGTTGAGTGGGCATTAAACCCTACATCTATCCATTATTTTGCACCTGAATTTGGAATGGATAACGGTGAGTTTCCTCTCACTTATGTTTACATTGTGTTATTTCAGAATAAAGTTGGTATAGAGAAGGTAAAACAGACATTAGAAGCTGAAAATCAAGATTTGATCAACGACTTAAAACAAGTACAACAAGCTAAACAAGAATCAGAAAGAAAACGTAAACAAATTGACAGTCAGCTCCAAGAAGCTCTTATTAAATTACAAGAACTAGATAGAACTAAGGTGGAAGTTGCTGAAAAATCCACAAAATTACAGGTAAGATTGATAAAGCATAATACTTGGCTACATTATTCATAATCAAATTATAATCATCTGAACAGCAGCTGTTTTGGATATATGTTAGATCTTATGCAGTGTTGGAAATCAGAACCATAAAGATGAAAGAAGTAAAGATCTTATTATGGTGGTTTCGTAACAGTTATTTTTTGTGCTATATGATTATGAACTTGTGAGATGAATACATTTTGTTTAAACTGGCAAGTGGTATCCTGTGTTCCAGATTAGTTAGCAGTTAGGGCTGGCAATCGATAACTATTTTAAATATCGATATCGGCAACTTTTCGGCAATATCAATATATCAGAAAATTTGAAGTTGACAGAAATAACTGTTTTGTATGCTAATAATGCATTTAAATATGTTACTGACAGGGAATATGATAATCGGTATCGCATTGCAGTTTGCTAAAAAAAAAAGACTTAAGTGTGAATCGGATATTAATTTGATTAGCAGAAATTTATCAAATTTAAGGGAATCTGCGAATCAAGTTTCTTGTCCCAAATTAAGCGTGAAAAAAACAACATGATTTACCGTTACACTGCGTACGGACATTCTAGTCCCTTTGATGTCGGTCGATGAGATTAAAATTCGTCAAAGATTAGTCAATAAACTAATTGTAAGCTAATCTTTTAACCAAGTCTGGAAACAAACGGCCGGACACGGATGTTGTCCGTCCAAATTTTACACCATGTCAGGCACAAATTTTATTGTTCCTGTCAATTTGTCCGTCCAAATTTTTTAAAAAGAAATGTAGATCATCGTAACTGATGTATAAACTGAGTAGCCAGTTCCACGATGTTCTTGACTGTAAACATCCGGAAAATCAAAGTCTTGATCAACTCAGACAGTTATTCTGTTATTTTTACTCTGTGCTATCTGCGACAAAATGGGTCAGCTTATTCGAGACTTAAAAATTTCACGCGAGAGTGAGATCCCCGGCTTCTAGCAGACGATAAATCCCGGCCTTGGTATTTACATATAAACACATAATCCAGTCCAAATTTGTATTCTATCACTATGCCAAAAATAACATCTTTCTTAAAAAAGCTGGAGGATGATCCACGCAGTACTCTAAACAGAACTTCAACTACCGATAACTTGATAGACGACAGGAGAGTCAGCGAGATATCTCGAGGGTGAGGGTCAAGGTCGTCTTGGCACTTCGAAGCAAAATGAGTTTTTTTCTCCTAATTCTAATAAATTAAATCAAGAAAAATTTAATTTATTCAATTCAGAGAGTGAATCAGATTCTGAGTTTTGGGGGTTTCCTCCTCTTGATAATTGATTAATAATATATTAAATGAACAAAGCACTACTAAGCAGTGAGTTTGTTTTTTTTGTGAAACAGAGGGGATTCATCCATTCAGTACAGCTTTATTTAGTTTCTTGGAAACACAGCAGCGATATGTTTGTCAGTCACAACCTGTGTCATGTCAGGCACAAATTCTTGAGCTGCGTCCAGGCTTGCCTTTAACAGTCATTCAGTTCACGATCTTATTAAGTAATTAGTACTAAAGTAAATTTGATAATTCCGTAAATATACAAGCTCGATAATTATTTACAAAGCAATCATTTTTATCTGTAATTTCCCTTAAGAATTGGCATCCCATTTGCTATCACACAATATTTTAATCATTTTCCATTCAATGAACAACAAAAATATTCCGTAGTCAATAATCATACGAAAAATGTTTCCATCCAAAGCATACACTGTTATTAGCTATACAGACCAGTTTAATTTTTATTTGTTTAACAAACTACTTTGTGACTAAAATGGCTCTACTTGGTTCATTTTGGCGGGAAAAAAGTCACATGGCCAAATAAAAACATGGCGACAATGCATGCATTGCATACGGGTGTCAAAGCTATGATGTAATTGTAAAACACCATTTTATGTTTCGACATTACAAACTTTTCTTATCACAGATATTTTGCTTTGATTTCTGCCGTGTAAATGAGACACATAGTTTTGAAGGAATATTTTACTGGCATGCTTATATTCTATCGTATTACGAAAACACCTAATTTTGTAGGAATATTACGGACTTAAAGTTACAATTTCATATTTTTAAGTTATATTTTTAAAATGTATTAAAATAAAGCCCTAAAATAGATGGTATAAACAGTCCTACCTTGTTAAAGAATAATCCGATTAATCCTATAATTTACTATTGCCAGTTGAGAAATTGGCAAAAATATCATTTTCAACTTCAAATTCAAATGTTTGAAGATAGCTATTTCATCGTGGGGAATAGGAAAACAAGGGCGGTAATTGTGTTATTTCCTGTGTGAAGATTTTTATGGTTGAGAAAGATAACCTATGATCGTATAATAGTGAGTTGACAAACTATTGAGCAAAAGACATAGAAATAATTATGTTTTGACTTTCTTAGAAAATATGAAATTGTAACTTTAAATTTGAATACTGTGCGGGAATTGAATATGAAAAACAGCGAGGTGCACCTATGTTTTTAGTATTCAGAACATGATCTACATAACATAAAACTATTCGTGGTTGAAGTCTGTTAAAGGGAATGAAAGTCACCCATATACACATAAACATTAGTTGTATTCCAGTAGAAATTATGGCCTTTAGAGATTGGACTATACGATACCGTGAAAATTGACTTATTTGCTATTCAATCAAGAGGAACTGCACTTTTTTTTTTTTAGACATCCAATAATTGCTAATCAATTTTTTTCTTCTTATTATATACCCTGGTTATTTATCAAATTAAAAAAAAATATATGATCCTCAAACTATGTTTGTTTTGTTCACCGCTTATCTGATGGTGTTATTAACAAAATAGTATTCGCAGCTTCGCACTCGCCATCAATCACTGTTGACAATTTTCCTTGGTCGCTTATAACAAGAAATGAATTTTTATTAAAACCGAGTTATTTCCCGTGAACTATTAATTAATTAATATTCATTGTCATTGTTGTAAGCAACAACGAAAATTACTGGCGCGGTGATTGTACCTTAGCGTGTGGGTTTTTAGTTTTAGCATGTTTTGAATGATATGATGGTGATTATTTGACACCAAACATTCCGTTAATTTCATTTAATAGAAGCTCCGTTATTTTTTATACGAGTATCGATATCAAGAACTGAATATCGATATCAATATTTTCCTGTAGTTGCCGATGATTATCGGCTATATTGATTTTTTTTGCCAACCCTAGTTAGCATACCCTGCCATTATTTTGACATGTATGACAATGACATATTTTGTCAATTATGTTTTTGTTTCTACCATATTATGTGATTTTTATTTTAGGGAGAACTAGAATCTGTTTCAACACAACTGGAACAAGCTGAAACCAAGTCTCTTCAAATGACACAAAAAGCAAGTGCTTTAGAAGCTCAGTTAGCAGATTGTCAGGTAATTGAAAATGTTTTCTGTATACAATGTAATATACAATAGGTCTATGAATTACTGCTACTGTTATGAAGTAAGTTTGTTTGACTACCATGATTAGTTTTTACACTAGACAATTCAAATTCATATCAGGACTAAAACTAATAATTTCTTCCACATCGACCTAACCTCTATTTTAAATCCATGCCATTTCTTGGCCTATTACATTTTTATATTGTATTTATATCTCTCCGCCAGTCGGAGCAGAATAGTAGGACGTTACCATTTCATTTCATTCCACCTCTCCGTCCTCTCCGTACTAGTCAATGTCCTGATCACCAGCTTGGATGATCTCCACAAAACTTTCCTCCATTCCATCTCTGTTTTTTTTTCTTTTTTTAATGCCACATTTAATATTTAAGGATATGTGTCAAGAAGAAACACGACAGAAACTGGCCGCTCAGTCTAAATTAAGACAAGTTCTTGATGAAAAAGAGAACACACTTGAACGTCTGGAAGAGGAAGAAGAATCCAAGAAAGCCTTACAGAAACAGGTTGTTGATTTACAACAAAAGGTAAATGTCTATACAATAACTCAGGATAACTCTAATATGTTGACTTTGACATCAGGCTGACTTTGACATGTATCAGGTTTTATCAAAATTTGATAAATTACTATGTTAATTGCTGTATTTATATCAAAGGTCATGTGATTTCTCTTGCCAATGTGGCTGTTTAAAAAAAAAAAAAAAAAGCACAAGATTTATTGAGAGTTAATTGAAGATGTTTATTGATATGTTGTAGATTGTTGAGGTGAAGAAGAAAGCAGAGGAAGATGCTGTTAATAATGAAGCTCTTGAAGAATTTAAGAAGAAGGCATCTCGAGATGCAGATAATTTCCAGAGAGAAATTGAAGAAGCCAGGCAACAAGCGGATCGATTTGATAAATCTCGTAGGAAATTACAGGCTGAGGTATTACTATACTTTTATTAAACTCTTTATCTTTGTTTAAATTTCATAATTACAGTCCCAGATTTCACCATTTCCTTGCATGTGGCACTAAAATTGGATTTTAGTCAAATGGAATACTAACATAATTAATGATTAAGGAATACGTAACCTTTGTATTGATGATATTTTGTAGTTTTCAAAATTATGGTTCACTTTTCAAAACTGAAAATCAAATATAGATGTATTTTAGGACTTGTAGTTTTATTTGAATTACTTTGACCGATCTTTGTCTTATTTATATATAGGTAGAAGATTTAACTATGGAGTTGGAAAGCCAGAGAACATCTGCAAATGCTTTTGAAAAGAAATCTCGTAAATTTGATGCATTGTTGGCTGAAGAGAAAGCTAATGCTGAAAGGTTTGTTTGAAATATTTGATCTGTTTATAGATGTATAGGTTAAAATATTAAGAATCATTGTCACTTTTCTTAAGAAAATGAAAGTAATTAAATTTAGTTGATATTCTATTCAAAATACAGTGTTTAACAAATGCTCCTGTGTGTTTTCATAGTGAAGCCTGTATGACATGGCATACTTTTATTTAAATCACACCAAAGTTATACATGGAGATTGTTAAAGGGAACAGATATTTTAATAATGAGAATATAAATGTTTGAATTATTTTTAAAGGTTGGCACAAGAACGAGATAATGTTGAAAGAGAAAGTAGAGAAAAGGAGACTAAAATATTGAATCTTGTAAGAGAATTAGATGATATTCAAGAAAGATATGAGGCTTTAGAACGAGCTAAACAACAACAACAGAGAGAATTGGATGACTTAGTCTCATCCAAGGATGATGTCGGAAAGAACGTAAGTCATTTTTATCCTTTTCTGTTGGGTGGGTCACCAAGTGGTCTAAAGTTTTGCACTTGTATCATGTATGAGTAAGCTGGGGAACATAGTGACCAGTAGTGAAAAATTTTCAGTGTGATGATTAATAAACAACAACTATAACAATTAATTGAAATGATAGGATGTATTCAAATAGATCTTTTAATTTACAAATAAAATTTTATTTATAGGTTCATGAATTGGAGAAAGCCAAGAGAGCATTCCAACAACAAGTAGAAGAACAAAGACAACAGATTGAAGAATTAGAAGATGAACTTCAACTATCAGAAGATGCTAAATTACGTCTAGAAGTTAATATGAATGCTTTGAAAGCTCAATATGAACGAGATATTCAGGGTAAAGAAGATATGGTTGAAGAAGGAAAGAAATCATTATTGAGACAGGTATCGTCATTCCTAGTTTTAAATTCTTATATTGGATATATTCTGCAACAAACATTTTAAAATGCAACTAAAAATGGCCTTTGTGAGAGGAGAAATGTGTACAGACAAAAAATACATTTTATGTAATAGAAGGAATATGGTATTTTCACCCACACCTTCTTGTAAACATGATCGTCTATATTGTTAATCATGTTTTAGTGAAACTTGGTATGTTACCTTGTATCCGTGAGATCTTGAAGTTAATGTTTGATCAAATAACTATTTAGTGTCTATAACGTATCATGCTTTTAATGACAACTTTCTTGAAACTCAAGCAGGCTTGACAGTGTACTCTGCTGGTTCAGGTCCAAAATGTAATATAATAGCTATTTCTGTATTTGAGAATTTCTCTAATAATATGTTTCTTTGTATAGTTGAGAGAAATGGAAGCTGAGTTGGAAGAAGAAAGGAAACAGAAAGGTGCTGCTGTTAGTGCTAGAAATAAATTACAAGGTGATATCAATGATTATCAACAACAAGTACAGATGGCTAATAAGGTAAAGGAAGATGCCGTCAAACAATACAAGAGAATGGTAGCTCAGATGAAAGAAGTTACTCGTGAAGTTGATGAGATTAGAATATCAAAGGAAGAGATGGTACAGGCCCAGAAAGATGGGGAGAAGAGAATTAAAAATCTGGAGGCGGAAGTTTTGAAATTACAGGAGGATCTCGCTCTGTCTGAAAGAGCCAGAAGAAATGCTGAATCTGAGAGGGATGAGTTACAAGAAGAAATTGGTGGATCAGCCTCTTCGAAGTAAGTTGTCAATTTCTATGTAATGACATGATAAATGCAACCATTCAATATTGTTTGCCAAGTGGTAATTAAAATGCACTTCCTTGAAAAAACAAAAGGATTATTACTGTTCCTCAATATCGATTATATTGTTGTCTATATTATAAGATATTGAAGTCAAGTCTTTGATAAATATATTGAACAAGCCAAAGCAATTTAATTTTTAGTTTTTCATTTCGAAGGACTGTTCAAACAACAAATATATTATCTAATGTCAGTCACCTTGAAAGATATTAACGTCAGTCACAAGGAACATGCTGCTTTCCTGCATTGAGTACAGTAAACCTCGCTTAAGTTGGATTTGTATAAGTTGAATCTTCGCTCAACTCGGATAAAATCGTTTGGACCCTTTGATCCTGCACGTTTTTCTTATTAAATTTCTGCGCGTAAGTCGGATCTTTGCTCCACTCGGATCAAAATGTTTGGTCCATTTGATCTAATTCCGGCTCTTTTTCCATCACCTAAGTCGGATCGGCAGTATGTTCAGAATTTCACTGTCAGTTTCGTCCTGATGGTCTAAAACACAGTTAGGTATTCCATGCACAGAGCCCCAAAATACTTTCCTCTATCATTTTGAGTCAAATCAGCCTATTCGACGCGACACAAAACGGAAAATTCGAAAATCGCTGTCACTGTACGAGACACTTTCTGGGAAAGTTTAGGATATCTTTCAAAGATGCGACTAAACGGAAGTTACCTACTCGCACCAAAACGCAAGGTATCTACTCGCACATACAAACAAAAACTTGAAATGTGCCTTTGAATCAATTATTATCCGGCTCTTGCAGTTTATTTCTAATCGAGCTAAGACTGAATGTTGGTTTTCGGATCTTTTGCTTATGCTAAGTTTACTGTAATTACTCCTGTAATGAATGTAGGGTGCAATTGAATGGACTGACATTTTGTTAGAATTGAACTGTTTCGACCAGTTAAATACCCCATTTAACAGATGTTCCCATGTACTTAAAAACTAATCAAACTATTTATAATTAAGGAACGCCCTGTTGGATGAAAAGCGTCGTTTGGAAGCTAGGATCAGTGAACTTGAAGATGATCTTGATGATGAACGTAATAATACAGAACTGATGGCTGAAAAAGCCAGAAAAGCTCAGTTACAAGTAAGTTGATTCACCAATTGGATTAAAATCAGATGTTTCTCAGTTTGTCTTTCATTTTATATTCCATAGTTTACATTTTATATTGGCAATTTGAACTAGAAGCAGGGACATTTCAGTAATTTCCATTTATTACGTCTAGAGTTATGGCCCTTGTTTCACTTTGTTGAACCTTGAGAACGCTCTAATGCCAAAAGTTAACATCCAATCTATGTGAAATTTATATGCAATATTTATATTAGGGAAACGAAGAAGCTTATGGAATTTCAGCAATTTCTCTGTTTATTACTTCTAGAGTTATGGCCCTTTTCTCACTTTGTTTAACCTTGTGTACACTCTAAGGTCAAAAGTAACCATCCTATCTTTCTGAAATTTATATGCATTATTTAAATTAGTGAAACGAAGAAGCCAGTTGCATTTCAGCAATTTCCGTTAATTACGTCTTAGAGTTATGGCCCTTGTTTCACTTTATTGAACCTTGTGAATGCTCTAACGCCAAAAGTTATCACCCAATCTTTGTGATATTGATATGCATGATTTAAATTAGTGAGTTATGGCGGTTGTGAACCTTTGAATGACAAAAGTGATCATCTGATCTGTATGAAATTTATATGCATTATTTAAATTAGTAAAACGAAAAAGCCTGTCAAATTTCAATAATTCCTGTAGATTAATTCCAGAGTTGAGACCCTTGTTTCAGTTTGTAGTACCTTGTGAACCCTCAAATGGTAAAAATTATAATCTGATCTGTATGGAACTGTCTTGTAAAGGCCTCCAAAGGAATAAATATGTGACAACCCTTGTCGACCGCTCGGACGATTTAGCTGCTGTGGGCGTATGTTTTGTTGCCTGGCAACCTATCTTATCACAAGTATTCTATAATAGTATTTATTTTAATTTAAGGTGGACCAAATTAATACTGATTTACAATCAGAGAGATCTGTATCACAGAAACTAGAGAACCAGAGAATGCAACTAGAACGACAGAACAAAGAAATGCGCGATAAACTACAGGAACTTGAGGGACAGAATAGAGCCAGAATTAAGGCTACTATTGCTGCTTTAGAAAGTAAAGTTCTTAATCTTGAAGAACAGTTGGATCTGGAGGCTAAGTATGTATTATATTCCAAATCTAAACTGTTTGCTGGTTAAAACACAATTATCCAATCATGTGTTAATACATTGGACTTTTTGATTAGCAGTACTGCTAATCAACTGAAAAATTACCGACAGCCCTGCAAAATGGCATATATATGTAAAGATATGGTATATCAAGGTTGTGGACCCTCTAGAGGCCACAATTTTGATCCGATTTTAATGAAACCTAGAAATACTTGTTTATAACCCAAAGATCTTGGTTCTTTTCGATATTCGCGCATAACTTCCTGAATTATGGCCATTGATTGTATGAAAAATAACGTTTTTAGCTTGTGGTCCCTTTAGAGGTCTAAGTTTTTATCCGAATTAAAAAATACAAAAAACGTTTGAATATATCACCATTACACCCAAATGAAGGTTTAGTTTGAATTTTGTGAAAATCGGATCAAAATTGCCGGACAAATTGGACGCCCCTTTCACGCAAATAACGTTAAAGTATTGTAATAATAAGGTTGTGGATTCTCTAGAAGTCACAATTTTTATCCGATATTGATAAAACTTAAAATATATCTTTATATCCCAAATATCTCAATCCATTTCGATGTCTGCGCATTTCAGACCATTACTTCCTGGATTATGGCCCCTGATTGTTCTCTATTCATCTCTTGCGAAATGTGGGCGTATCTTGCCTGGCAACCCCTGCTTACTTAATCAGGTGGAATTTTTTTAAAATCCCGCTTTGATCAAAGTCTGACTAGCATGATCTGCGTAATATAATAAGCCATTATGCACACGAATTGCTTGAAAATATAATGAAGTCGAAAATAGCAGATGAAATGTAGGCCTAATCATGCCAAAATTGATATCTTAGGCTAGACATCACTGGCATAGTTTTATAGGGTATTTTTGAGGATGTCGGTCTCAAAATACCGCAATAAGACTAATTTTCTGTTCTTTTAAAAATCTTCAAACGTTAAAAATATTTTTTTTTGTTGATATCCGAATAACATTTTGTTTCATAATTCATTTACCATCAACTCGAGACTCAAGCATTTTAAATTTACATGAAAGCAAGGACGGTCTAAATCTATTGTGAATATTTTGAAAAATGAATGCAAGCACGTGGCCAAATTACGACTTTTTAAAATGGGTCTAAAATGTTTCTTTAATAGTTCCAAAGAAAATCCCTATATATTTGAGCTACAAAATCGATAAACACGTTCCTGTTTCCTTTTTAGAGGGAGTTTATTGTCCTTTTAACGATGCTTGAATTGTCAAGTAGAACAACTTGACGCTGTCGCGCCACGTGTTCTAAGAGTAATCTCCTAATTGGAATCCATTTTCATGTGTATAGTGTAACTTTAGACTGGCTACACCCTGTTATAAATACCGTGGTCAAATCCCATTTCTGTTGTGAAAAGATTTAAGTCAGAAATATGACATAAAATTTAGCCTTTACAAATAGAAATGACGTATGGAGACATTTGCAAGATAAACTTTGCAATGACATTTTTATAGTTTAAAATTTTGAATTAGGTCTGTTTCATAAACTATGTTTTAACATATTACAGAGATCGATCTACACTTTCAAGAGCTAATAGAAAGTTAGAAAAACGTATTAAAGAATTAATCCTACAAGGTGAAGATGAGAGAAGGCATGCGGACCAGTATAAAGAACAGGTTTGTTTTATGTATAATTACTGAATTAATAAACTTAATAAAACTTCTTGGTTTATTTGCTACTTAAGTAGAATTAGTCTGGTTATTATTATGTTCTATTTATTTCAGGTGGATAAATCTAATAATAGAGTTAAAGGGTTAAAACGTAACTTAGATGAAACAGAAGAAGAAATAGCTAGATTAACAGCTAAATTACGTAAATTACAGAGAGAACTAGATGATCAAGTAGAACAAAATGAAACTCATTCTAGAGAAATTACATCATTAAGAAAATTACGGTTCGTATTCTTCTTGTTTGATCTCAATAATGATGGATTCTGGAAGGCAAACTAGGCCTGAATAATGCTTTAGACATCGATCTGCATGTATGGAGGAACTTAAAGCTATAGTGATTGATTGAGATAGGATCGGGTTCCAATTGGTGCATGCTTCATAGCTTAAAATTGTCAATTTACTTTTACAGGATTGTGAGGTTACAATGCTGCTTTAAATGTAGTGTCTGCAATAGTTTTGCATTTCATGAACATTGTGATTTACTGTTTGAATTTGTCACTCAAATAATTAGTGTTTATTTGAATAATGTTTATAATTACAGGGGACCAGCATCTAGTTCACGAACTACAACTAGAACAGTGATTACATCTAAATTACTAGATGATAGTGTAGATGGGGATGAGGAAGATAAAAATGATACAACAGAAACTTGAATTCTTCATCATAATCTCCTTAATTGATTATACAATTATTATACTATATATATATTATATATCACATGGAGAATATCCTACACTAAAACATTCTATATAGTTGTCTATATTTAATATGCATTATATTATCATTGACTGACCAAATGTGCTACTAAGACATGACACACAAGTTCACTTGCGAGGCTAATATATTTTGCTTTTTTCTAGTATTCTCTAGCTTTAAGTAAACCATATCTATCATATAGATTTTTTTTGTATACATTTTTTTTTTATTTTCAATATTATTTTTCTTTATGTTTATTATATCTTTATAAAAAAAAAATGTATTAAAATCTATAACCCCTTCTCAAACAAATATGGTGTTCATATGAAAAGTGTATTCAATTTCTTCAAAATATGGATAGGGCTTTACTCCTTTCTTTTTAGTATTTTCGAATTGTGAAGCATATCACTTTATTATTATATAGGGTATGGCATTAATTGTAGATATATGGAAATAATCCAAATAGGATGAAAATTTATAGAATTAAAATAGTTTATGACTTGCGGACCACTACTGACCTAGATTTCTAATATCTGAATCCTAATTTTGTAACATGATTAGATTTATTTTATTTTTATTTTTTTGCGGTGGTATCCACCATCTTGCCAGAGCAAAGTTTGACCAATCGAAAACCAGCATTGTATAATGGAATGTGGTCCTTTATGAAACTGTTCCAGTAGTTTCACTGATAATTTTGTTAATATTAGTTTTGCAGTTTAGTGCAGACGCTTATTTATTGTTTGTTAAACTTTCCACATTTTTTTTTTTTGCGCCCATCAGAAGAGATTTGTTATATTTGTTGAATATATTTTTGGGTATTATTATTCCAGACAGTCGTATTATCATATTTTACTGATACCAATAATAAAATAATTATTTAGTTGTCGTGATTTAGACAATTTATATAATAAAAGGTGAACTCTGTTAATGCTTGGATTGTGTACATGAATTATAATGTGATATTTTGATGTAAAATACCTACCATGTACAGGAATCCAGCGATTTTTTTTCGCCATATGTAAATTTGAATTTTTATACGAATAATTCTTAAAGTTTTCTTAAAAAAGGTAATAAAGTATAGCTGGCTTATTATAGCACTTCTTTTCTCTGCCGCAATTGTAGTAATAATTTAGTTTACAAAGAGCTTTGGAAAGAATAATCAATCTGTAAATTTGCTTTTCTTAATCCTTTGAATTAACCTTACAAGATACATATTTGGACATAATTTGAATTTGGAAGTGTGATAGAGAATTGTTGTAGTAAGGATTGGAGATAGCTTGTAAATAATGTTGACATCCAGAACAGATACTATTTTTGTATATTATTATTAAAGATTAAAGTCTTTATACTTGCTATTTTTAGGCTACTAAACTTAGATAAAATGAATCCTGTTTTGTTAAGATCAAACTCTTGCATTATTTTAGTTCTATGAATAATATGTACTGCTGGAAATTCATTAAGAGTGTAATGTGTTAGCTACCATCATATGTATTAATTCTATGTCACTTTGATGTCTTAACATGGCTTTCAGATGTAATAATTGAAATCATCAGCTTGGCTAAATAAATTATACAGGACAAGAAAATAGTTTGTGTTTTTAGTATATGATAAAAGTGTGATTGTGTGATAAGCGCCCTTCATACCCACCAGTTGACGTCCATGACTCTCTAGGATAAGGTGTTGTGTAGTCAGTGGTGGGCAGACGCCAACACCTTGATTGTATGCCCCCATGACTCAAGTACAGGGTTTCATACTGAACAAGGAAGATATTTCAAATATGTAAAAACAGATAAAAAGAATTAAGTTAGGCAGTTTGTACAACAAAGGTGACAGGGATTGGATGCCCAAGCCCATTGTCCCCCTTTCTGCATGCTCCTGTGTGTGGGTAAAGCAGATCTGTAATTGGTTAATGAAATTAGTGACAGCTGCATCCCTCAGATATAAAATCAACTCATTGTTTTTGCAAATTATCTACAGTAATAGCAATGCTGTGCTACCTGGTTATTGCTGTCATACTGGTCAATGCTACGTGTAGAACTTTTAAACTGAACATTAGCTACCGCTTCTAAATTTTTGACCAATCATAATGTGATTATACCTCTAGCCAACAGGTCAGTACGACGAAGGTCACAGTAAAAATTTACTTTGGTCATTTGGAGAGTAAGGCATCGTAATATTTATTTATATGGTTACATGTGCATGGCAAGGTTGAGAATTATAGTGAGCACCTGTAGACTCTTCTTCGAATTCCAACTACAGTAGGATCTTTTACTACACTACCAATTTGTACATGCGGAACTCGGTTATCGGACCCAACAGGACTACTCGGGGGCGTACATAACGATTTTGTTTGGGGGGAGGGGGGTGTATAGCCAAAATGCGACCGACTGATGCACATACCCCCAGTACGAGTGACGCAGTCAGGAGCCACGCACCACAGGTCCGAGTTTTCTAAGGGCCATGTGCAGAGCGGGTCTAGAAGCTGGGAATAGGGGGTGAGGTAGGGGTGGTTCCAAATCTAGGGTGCCATCCACAATCCCACCCCACAATGAATGTCAACAAAATACTGGCTATAACATTAAGCGTCCTAGTAGAACATAGACAGTATTGTATAATTATATAGTTGTTCGCCGATCGTTGTCTTGCCGGAAAGCAGTTTTATTTAAGTTGACATAAACTTTATGTCATATATGATGATTGTGCCTATAACACTGAGAAAATTTTGGAAAAATTGAGTCAATATCCTAGCACTTTAGGTCATTGCTGTGAGAAAGTCTTATGGATGAGAGGACCAGAAATGTGAGCCAATGGGACAGAATCTCGAGATCCGCCCCTGTCAATTCCGCCTGTTTTGCAAGAGTTGACATAACATTTGTATAGTCTGACGCCCCACGACCCACACACTAGTATAACTGGGCAGTTCACTATAACCGTGAATATGATAGTGCTGAGACAGTATAAGAAAACAGAGGAATAGAAGAATGGTGTTATAACGGAATCGGGCACCGCAGGCGCGAAAAAATTTCAGATATGTAACCGAGCTTTTAATTTTTCGGGACTGGGCCTGGAAATTTTAGTCATTGTCATGGCAAATGGAACCAAATTCTCGCTAACGAGAGGATAAGAAATGAGACAGAATCTTGTGGCCTATCTGTCAATTTCGCCTGTTTTGTAATTGGTTGTTTACCTCATTAATTCATTTAGTCTGAGACCGACTGCGGTGAGTACTTTTTTTGAGACCGACTATTTTTTTGCCATTAGGGAAAAACATTTCATAGAACAACATACTCACAACAGAATAAGAGTGACAAACATTTTTTCAAACATGACAAGCAGACATGGTTATTTTATACTATAGTTTTGTGTGACGTATGCAATTTAGGCTCACGGATTCACGCAAATACATAGTATTTGGGATCTATTCTGGCATTGTTTGTTTACCTCGTCGATGCATAATTTTGAGACCGACTGCAGTGACAGCACTTATTTTGAGACCGACTATTTTTCTCCCTGGGGGAAATTTTGTTCATTGACCAACATACTCACAACAGAATAAGAATGAAACACAACATTTTTTCAAACATGATAAGTTGACAAGGTTATTTTATACTAAAGTTTTGCGTGAGTAGCGTGACGTATGCAGTGAGCACTTGTTTTGATACCGACTGCTCTTATTTTGCGACCGACTGCACTGATTTTGCGACCGACTATTTTTCTTCCTGGGGGACTAGACACAGTTTTCTTGACACGCAAGATCGACAAAGCCCTTTACGATATAATGCCAATTTAAAAAAAAGTCAGGATAATACAAAAACTTTAGCTACACGAATTTGCCATAGGATGACATCTCTTCCACAAATAAGTAGTATCAGATGCAGAACAACCATTACCATTTAGTTTCCCCTAAAATCAAGTGTCTTACAATCTTACAACTGGTGCTGTACGAACATTATGGGTGTTGGTGGCCTATTGGTTCAAGGTCTGTCATTCAGTTAAGTGACGTGGTTTAGATTCCTAGCTTGCACGTGACAAGTAGTACTAGTAGAGTTGCCTGTTCAACGTCATGGGTTTCTCCGGTTTCCACCCACTGCCAAAGACCCTGTGGGCAAGCAAATTATTAGAATAAAATTGAACCATATACTAATTCCGGAATGACAGTGGCCGTATATTGTCGGCTCACTCTAGAGACTATAATAAAGTTATCATCCGATTGACTTTAAAGTTTGTACACATTGTGTGTGAAAATTACTGCTTTCATTACCTACGAAACAATAAATATGTCACAACGCTTGTCGCCTGCCCGGACATCTTGGTTTTTGTAGGGATATATTTTGTTGCTTGGTAACCTATGTTATTTTCAAACCCAAGCTAGTTTCAGTTTAGTGGGAGCCTTACCAGTTTTAAGATTAAATCAACAATTTCTCAATTTAGCCCTTTAATCATCATCTGACAGGACTGGATTGGTCTGTAATCACCATTGACTGAAGGTGAGTAGGTAATCTGTAAACCCGGTTAGAAATTCTAACAAAGGGACATTACTTTGGTCTTTTTGGTCAGTCAAATTACTTCATTCTGAGCGAGTAGCCACGGTGGCTCAGTGAGTAAGATTTTGGCTTGCTAATCTGGAGGTCCTATGTTCGATCCCAATATTGAGCAAAAAAGTTCATCGGGAATTTTCGGCGTTGCCCACCCCTGTCATTTGTGTAGGTCGGAGGGCCAAGGGACAACGTACACGTATTGTCATTCGGATGTCGCTGTCGCTGTCCGGACAAACATGAAATGAAATAAAATAAAATGGCGTTTAACGTCCTGCTGTTCTGCTCCTTACCTGGGCTAATGAAGACGTGCGTACGCCATACAGTGTGCTATGAGGGAAATTTTGCCCGGGCAGCGGCGATACTGCCAAGGGATCTTTTACGTGCACGCCAATGTGTACGCGGGACCTCCGTTTTTTCGTCCCATCCGAACGACTAGACAGCTGTCCTTGTCAGGCCCTCCATCCTGCATCACTGTCAAGGGGAAACCACGCCGGAAAATCTGGATGAACTTTCTCGGCCAATGCAGGGATCAAACACCCGACCTCCGGGCTAGCGAGCCAGCGTCTTACCCACTTTGTCACGTGATCCCCCCGGACAAACTTATCCTCATTACACACTATGGCATAATATGTCCGTTTTCATAAGCCCAGTTGGAGTAGGACGTTAAACCCCATTTTATTTCCGTGCCTTTATTACGTATATTATCGTCGCCCCAGTCCGTCCGTCCACAAATTTTATCCGATTTCAATGAAACTTGAATTATAGTTTTATCACCCTAAGATCTTGGTTCCTTTCGATATTGGCATGTATCGGACTGTAATTTCATGGATTATGGCCCCTGAGTGTACGAAAAATCACGTTTTAGCTTGTGAACACTGTAGAGGGCACACTTTTTTGTATCCGATTTGGTTTTTAAAACCTTGAAATGTATGTTTGCAACCCACAGATCTCGGTTCCTTTCAATATTCGCGCATATCGGACCATAACTTCTTGAATTTTGATGAAACTTGAAATGCAAGTTTATAACCCAAAGATCTCGGGTCCTTTCAATATTTACGCATATCGGATCGTAACTTCTTAAATTATGGCCTCTGATTGTACGAAAAATCGCGTTTTTAGCTTGTGGTCCCTCTAGAGGTCACAATTATTATCCGATTTAAAAAAAACATTCGAATATATCACCGTTACACCGTAATTTTGTCTGAGTTTAAATTGCATGGAAATCGGACCAAAACTGCCGGACAAAATGGCCGCCCTTCGTACGCAAATAGTGTAAACATCTGGTATATCAAAGTTGTGGACCTCTAGAGGCCACAATATTGATTCGTTTTTGATGGAAATTGAAATGCAAGTTAATAACCCAAAGATCCCGGTTCCTTTCGATATTCGGGCGTATCGGATATAGTAACTTCCTGTATGGCCTCTGATTGTACGAAAAATCGCGTTTTTAGCTTGTGGTACCTCTAGAGGTCACAATTATTATCCGATTTAAAAAAACGTTCGAATATATCACCGTTACACCGTAATGTTTCATGAGTTCGAATTTCGTAAAAATCGTGCCAAAACTGCCAGACGAAATGGCCGCCCCTCGTACGCAAATAGAGTAAACATCTGGTAAATCAATGTTGTGGACCCTCTAGAGGTCACACTTTTGATCCGATTTCGATGAAACTTGAAATACATGTTTATAACCCAAAGATATTGGTTCCTTTTGATATTCGCGCATATCGGATCGTAACTTCCTGAATTACGGCTCTTGATTGAACAAAAAATCATGTTTTTAGCTTGTGGTCCCTATAGAGGTCACAATTTTTATCCGATTTAAAAAAAAAACCTGTGAATGTATCACCATTACACACTAAGATCGTGGTTCCTTTTGATAATCGCGAATATCCGAACTTAACTTTCTGGATTATGGCCCCTGATTGTTCGGAAAATCGCATTTTTAGCTTGCGGATTTTCTAGAGGTCACATTTTTTTCCGATTTCAAAAACCGTTTAAATACATCACCATTCCACCATAATGAAGGTTGAATTCGAATTTGAGG